ATATATATATATATATATATATATATATATATATATATATATATATAATAAATATATGTGTGTGTGTGTGTGTGTGTGTGTATATGTGTGTTGTTTTTGTAATATTTTTATATAATCCATTCTACAGCCATCTTCAATCGCACAACTTTTAAGAAAAGAGTATTTTTTTTTCCCGAAGAGAAAATTATAAAAAAGCTTTGTTGTCCAAGGAATGCTGTGAAATGAGCCCGATTATTTTTTTTTCTTTTTCGGCGGGGCGGCGAGGGAGACAAGTAATGACAAATTTCAAAATTGAAAAAAAAATGTCTGAATTTCTGGAATGGGAAGTTATTTAGTTGTCCCTATCTTTATTGCTTTTAATGAAATCAACAGAGTATGAGGATAATAGTCTGAATATAAATGGTGTAATGAATGTAAGAATCTTTAGCTTTTGTAATTACCGATGTTATATATATATATATATATATATATATATATATATATATATATATATATATATATATATATATATATATATAAAAAAGCACCAATATTCCATGGTTATAATTTATTACATTGATTCGTAATCACAATCCAATTCATCAGACCTAAAACTTAAAAACCTTCTTTTGCAATTTATTAAAATTATAACTATGGAATATTAGTGTTTGAGCCTTTTATATTATATTCTTCTGTCCTGACATTCAGCTCTACCAGAATTTATCCTTGGGTAAAACTTGGTAATATATATATATATATATATATATATAAATAAAAGGAAGTGATTATAGTAGTTCCAACGAGAGAAAAGGTGTATAGTAAAAGTAGCGAGAAACCAAAACATTTTTGTTGTATTGTAGATTTAAAAAATATTATGCTTTATTTTCTATATTTTATATATATATATATATATATATATATATATATATATATATATATATATATATATATATATATATATATATATATATATGTATATATATATATATATACACACACACACACACACACATATATATATATATATATATATATATATATATATATATATATATATATATGATTTATATTATCAATATATATATATATATATATATATATAACAGGGTTAAATTAGACAAAAACAGTCTAAATTGTCTTAAAAAGTGTTTAATACACATATAAACCTCCCTTATTCCCACCGTGTTCCAGCGGCAAGAAGTAAGCTTCTTCCCACGAACGACAGCCCCATGGAACAAACTCCCTAGGAGAAGTTTCCCCGATAACTACAATCTTAACTTGTTCAAATCTAGAGTCAGCCGATATCTCCCCCCTCCTATTCATATAAACTACTCCTTATTGTAACCCTTTTCTTCGAATTGGCCCCGGGTCTTTTACAGGGTGAACCTTGCCCTAAAACACTGAAAAAGACATTCACTGTAACTTTACGTTTCATTCTAACAAGCTATCTTCAGACAGCTCGGAAAACAAAAAAAAATAAAACGCAAGAAACGACCCTCGTATATAACCAATCCTTAATACTTTAATCATAAGATGAATGTGACAAATAAAAGGAGGGCCTGTCTATATTATCGATTTAAAATTTGAATACTAGAGAAGAGTTTGTCATCAGAATATAGGTGGAAACTACCAAAAAGTTTTTGCACATCGACGATTTGGTTCTGACATAAAACAAAACAACATCAGAACTGGATACCTATGATGGACCATTGTATAAAAGTTCGGAACAGTTTTTCCCAATATAAACATCTATATAAAAAAAAAAAAATTAATACGAGGTTAAGGATCGAACCCTGTCCTTTTGGTGGAAATTTACTTTTTTGTAATCTTTCCACTCATAAACCGTCGGAAATATTTTCGCACAGGTTTTTTTCTTATTTTTATAACATTATTTGCTATTTTTGTTAGGTGAGCGTTAATTTTCGTTACAACGAAGACTCCCGCCGACATTGAATTAATGAAAATTTTAGTCGAAAGTCCTGCGAAAAACGACGTTTAATTTATCTGCACACTGATTTCTATAACAAGGAAACTTGTAAAGACAACAAAAAATAATTTAAAACTCGCAAGATATTTTCTTTTCCGTCAAATTTAACGAGACATACGTTGATATGCAAAAAAAAAAAAAGAAAAAAAAAAAAAAAGGAAGGATTTCTGTCCAAAATTGCTAAAACTTTCTGATTGTTATAAAAAGGTCTGTATATTGAATATAACATCAATTAAATTTTAAATTTGTATTAATCATATATATTTATGCCTTGTAGAACAATGAGTTATCTTAAAACATTTAAATAACACTAATTTATTAAACAAGAGAAATGAATTGATTGTTACACGTAAGCATAAAAAATAAATATCATTGAAATACTTTGAACTAGATTAATTTTTTAATGGAAATTATAAACTTTTCCTTCTTTTACGTTTTATATATATATATATATATATATATATATATATATATATATATATATATATTGTCTCTTTGTCTATACTTATTTTATTTTACATGAATTTTCTTTTTTTAATTTTTTTAAATAAATTAAATAACAGTAATACTCCTTTATGCTTAGTATAAAACAATTTTTTCAGATAGTTTTAGGTCTGTCTATTTTAATATAATTTTTATTTCTTTTAATAAATATCATTAATCCCTATTTATTTTAAATATAAAATATTTAGCTACCCACTTTTATTTCATATATATAAATAAAAATTCCGTTTATTTTAAATAAAGCAACTATTTTTAAAATAAAAAAACCGTAATCTCCGTCTATGGACTGCGCCAGCATTGCGTCAATCAGATATATTTTTATTAAAATTTAAAGCAGGAAGCGGTCAGTACATGAAGATTGCGTTGGGCATGAAACTCCGAGTCGGAATAAGGGAAAATAAGAGATGATAAATATATATATATATATATATATGTGTGTGTGTGTGTGTGTGTGTGTGTGTGTGTGCAGAGGGAGGGAGAGAGAGAGAGAGAGAGAAAGAGAGAGCGAGAGAGATCAAATTTTAAATTTTAAAAAATATTGTTATTCCGACAATGTTTAAACACATACAGCATTTGTTCAAATCACTAAATGTTTGTGATAGTAAAAAAACAATACTCTCATAATCCAAGTAATTTTTTTATATCATATCTTTAACATTTTGGTGTAAGAGAGTTATCTCATTTGCACTGGTGACGCCAGGTATCAGTGTCTTTGTTATCACAATAAAAGATTGATTACGGATGAAAAAGCAAGGAGATAAAAAGTGAGACTAGAAGTAAAAGCTGACTATAGTACAAACAATTGTTATATATATACTTACATATATATATATATATATATATGTATGTATGTATGTATAGTGGAGAATTCAGAGTGAATATAAGCGAAACCTTATTAAAGAAATATATAGTCTTTCCGAAAGGTTTAGGACCAGTGTCCATCTGGACAGAGGAAAACCATCGTTAGATCTGACGTGTTTTAACCGTCTCGGCCATGGAGTGGCGTTGCTGATCAAGCAAAAATTTTTCTTTGATGAGATTTTCTCGAATATTGGAGCCGGTAGATAAAAATGAATAAATATACTGTTTAATAAATAAACGGAGCGTCTCCTCAAATATATATATATATATATATATAACAGTGCAATAATAATACTACTAATAATAATAATAATAAGTAAAGACAATCTTTAAAAATCTATTTGGTTATAATTTATTTCATCAATATACAAATATTTATCTCGAAATTTTTAATAATCATATTAAAAAAAATAATCTTATTATTAAAAAAAACTTCAGTCTGAACAGATGAATATTTGTATATTCATAAAATAAATTATAACTGGAATGGATTTTACGGATCGTCTGTATTCATTATATATATATATATATATATATATATATATATATATATATATATGTGTGTGTGTGTGTGTGTGTGTGTGTGTGTGTGTGTGTAAAAGTGTTTTGCATATAAATATAAATAAATATATATATGTATAATTATTTATATATTATATGTGCAATTTTATTAGAAAGCGCTCAATATCAGAGATAGAGCTTAAATATTTGGTTGGATAGATGTGAGTTTGTGGCCCTGGGTTTCACGCTTTATACCATGGACCATCATGTGAAAATCTTCCTAATATACTAAGAACTTAACAAAACTAGTAATATAAGATACGACTGGGCCTAAATTGAGGGAAGGTTTTTTTTACTGTTACTAAATAAGTACTCGATCTGTCGTCATTGCTAAATGTTTATAATACAAAATATATACATATATATAAAGTCTCACCTATGAAAAAAAACTTTTTATATTAATAAAGACTTGAAAAATCTAGTATTAATAAAATAAAACCGCTGGACAGAAAGTGAGGGATCGTTTTTCAGTTGCTTTTAACTAAGAAACTGATCACACGTAATACGTATAGCAAATAAATAATTAAAAAAAAAACGTATTTAGAGACTTGTACGTAAATAAAATTCTGACAATAAGCAGAACTTAACAAATATATATTCACTTGAATTCCAAACGCCCTGAATATGTGAAGTTCGGCAAAAACGCCCCTACTAGTAATTCAAAGCAAAAAAAAATAAATAAATAAATAAATAAAATAATAATAATAATAATAATAATAATAATAAAAAACACATCATAAACAAACAAAAATGAATAGACTTAAGAACATCCCGGCCAGATATTAAGTGGTCAACGTTTTCCACATGCTGTTCACGTAAGTTATATATTGGCTATGAAATATTTCTTATTATATTTGCCCAGTGATTCCTGATGAATAGGATTCTGGTCAGTGCAGCCTTCATAAATACCCCCGCATTTGCTTTTAGTCCTGTAAACTTTAGTAACCGATGGATTTCTTCTTTTCTTCTTCTTCTTCTTCTTATTATTATTATTATTATTATTAGTGGTGGTATCTCTTATATATATATATATATATATATATATATATATATATATATATATATATATACACAACATGTCAATAGATCTCTTTAATCCTATCACGATATGTTAGGCGCCTGCATGATTATTTTAAAAAAGCTTGCATCTTTCTGGCATAAGGTTAGATTTATAAGATACACAATGGGGATACATATCAGCACGCTACAGATTTCATCAACAAGAAAAAGCTTACGCATGATCATTTAGAAATCTTACCTTAGGCTTTCATAGTGATATTGGTAATATTAGGCAATTCCTTATAAGAAAACATTCGGCTATCATTGACAGATCAGCTAGTGATGCTGTCAGATTAATTTGATAATATCTTTCTCTTAAAATAATTTTTCAGCAAAATGGGTTTCTCAAGTTCAGTATCTGTTAATGCTCTTTTCAATATTAATGGAGGGGTTCCTTCGTTGACTTTTGGTTTTGGTGGCGTGGAATTTCAGGATTTTTGTTATTATTCTCTCTTCGAGTTACATGTGACACCAATGTCACTTCTTGTTGTTACCGGAAACCTCAAGTGATTTGATTTCTCTTATTCAGTGTAGTTCTTTGTGATTCTTTAGCGTCAGTCTATAATGTTCATAGAAAAAGAGTCTTCGCTAAGACCTACAGGTTTCATGCTTTCAAAACCATTTTTATCCTTGATCTGAGAAAGGTTTTCATCTACAGTTGAGAGTTTAGACATTTCTGAAAAGAATCTGGTACCATTTATGACATCTATATGAAAGTCTCGGTCTGACGAGGCTATTTAAGAACAATGGCTTCAGTTTTCAGGTTAATGTTTCGGTTTTCTAGCGATTTGGGAAGGGAATTTGATCGTAAAATGAAATTAAAGTCGCTTTATCTAGAGAACTTTCACACAAAAGAAACACGCTAGTTCGCGTCTGTGTGATTATTGATAATGCTTGTTTATTTCGGAAACAATGTAGTATAGTTAGCTGCACATCCGTAATTGCAGACACAAACTTACAGATACGCTTAACGAAGATGTCCTTGACACCTCAGTATGGTATCTCTTTATCAGTGACGTGCAGCAGTTTGCTGATAGCCTGGAACAATTTTTTGATTGTATTCCCCTTAGACTCAAGTATAAGAAATGACAAATGACTTTTATACTACTAAGACATACACAAAATTATATATACAAGTGTCCTACGCAGAGAAAATATATATATCACATACAACTACACGTCAAAGCAGAGTGTAATAAAAAAAAAGGTTCTTATGATATGGAGATCCTCCTGTGTCTGGAGAAGCCATGTTTAGGAATAAAGATTCAAACAGACTAGATTAATCTACTGATAAATGTTAATAAGGAAACATTTTAAATAAGTAACAACAGATGAAACATGAAATAAGTATTTTATTCAAATTAAATCTAAACTAAATTTTGTTTCACTCTTTGATTTGATGCCACTCTATTTAGAAACCTGCCACCGTAACAATATCTTCACTCTACTGCTTCTTATATTAATAAAGCTTGTTTCTTTCTCGCTCTCTTTTATGATAGGCAATTGTAAGCAAGTGTATGTTTACTTAATAAGCTTTCTTTTTCTTTTAATCCTTCTACCTTAAGTAAGGCAATAAAAGCCAGTAGAATGACAGGGGTTATTGAGAAAGGAAGAATAAAAGAGCCAGATACACGGAAAAGAAAGAGGCGATTGACATTGTATTTAAAACTCGGAAGATCATTGTGGACATAAAACAAGAAGTGACTTCCGCAAACGAGATGTGCGTGTGATAAAACTATAAGAAACGAAATTACAGTTACAATTAGCAATTTCAACAGTGGAATTGAGACCTAGCCGCTAATCTAGTATAGCGCTTAAAATTGTGATGTCAAGGAACCAATGAAGGCCCATGTGAACAATTACCAAGAAAATATTCATTGAAGAGGCAAAGAGAAGCTACGTTAAGACGGTGGGCGAGATACACAATTCGAGATGTCAGGTAAGGATTAGTAATGTTACCTATAACTATTTGGATTTTGTCACGAATCTCTAGATGTAAAGCCAGAATCGCCAGACCAGATGGATCAGAAATATTCGATGAATGGAGGAATGGTAAACTTATTAATGGCGAGAAAAATGTGTCTAACAGGACACAGTGAACCGACTTTTGTAGCAGCTGACTTAGCTGTTGATTCGATATAAACATTCCACTTCTTGCCACGAGATCAACAAGTTGCAATGAGTTCCTCTCCTTGAAGTTAGAATCAGCCTTGATAATGGAAGGCAAAAAAACGTTTCTTTAAGATGATTAATAGAGGAAATTTTCGTTTTGAGTCACTAAAATTAATAAGATATTTCTTATACAACTTGTCCCCACTCCCACAAAAAAACAGATTTTATTTAATTTTTTTTAACAGCTGAAAATTTCGTCGAACCTGTCAGCCTTATGATTAAATAAGGTTTAAATATTTGTACCATCAGCATAAATAACGTTTCAGAAACTCCTGAAACATCAGTAAGGTCGTTGATAAAAATAAGGAACGGTTTGGTTGCAAGAATAAAACTTTTGGAAGATGCCCACATTAATGGAAAAATATCTAGAAGATTGGCTATTCGATACAACATACATTACGCAGTTTGATAAGAAAGACCAAATCAAATGAAAGAAATGAACAGAATGCGAAAAATATATCGTGTTGAGGGGCACAGAGCTGATGAGAGATTTATACGAGGATTTTCAATGCGATAACTGCTTACTTCACATTGTAATATGGTAGGTGTTTCTATGTTTATTTGCAAAGATTGTTGATGAAGCAAGCGGCGAAGATGGAAATAATCAAAACTAGATATTTGGTTCGCAGAAAATGGTTTTAAGTCGCCGTAGTATAGCAGGCACATTTATGATTACTTATAAATCGTTATCAACATCGAATTACTAAAATAAAGAACATCTGCGTAGGTAGTTCACTAATTATTGATTTACAGTAGATTCTTAATTCATACAATTAATGGATGATAAGATCCCATATCGGATAAATATCACGTCGTGTTCAACACTGTAGAGAGAGAGAGAGAGAGAGGAGAGAGAGAGAGAGAGAGAGAGAGAGGAGGGAGAAAGAGAGGCTATAAAAGAATGGTTTATTCTCCCATTTGTATTTTCCTCATCGAAAAGATTTGACAAACTTGATTTGTTCTCAGAGAGATTTTATACCACTAAGACATACACAAAATTATATATATATATATACAAGTGCCTCACGCAGAGGAAAATATATCATATATAACTTACACGTCAAAGCAGAGTGTAAGAAGAAAGAAAAAAATAAGTGTCTTATGATATAGAAATCTCCTGTGTCTGGAGAAGCCATGATTAGGAATCCAGATACAAACGGAGGGAATTAATCTACTATGTCTCAGGCAAGTACATATTACGGGAAATAGCGAGTCTTGGATTTTCCCAAACTGAGGACTGCAAGATGGAGTTTGTTTATCTAGAATATGTCTATATTCGCAAAGAGAAATGGCCCCATGGACTTGTAAGGTGCTAAGGAGACAGATTTTGCCTCTGTGCGTGTCAAAGGTGCCCAGGCTAAAGAAAGCAACCTTTCGCTTTGGCAGCTGTAAACAAATTGAAATTGTCTACCGCTTTCCTTGCTGTATGGAGTGACGTTACTAAACCGCCTTCACGAGACCCACGGGACTGATCTACACCAAAGGGAGATAATTCTCTTCCGTAATTATTACAGTTATATTCATATATATATTTGTTACGGTTTTTGCAGTTGTTTTTGTTCTACTGCTTAAATAATAATCTAAAAATGTTACACGTTTATTGCTGTTACTGTTTAGATCTATAATGCACATTAAGTAATCTATAGAAGAATGTTAATCGTATAAATGGTCAAAAAGATGATGCCAATGAATACCAGATGCGAAGCTATCTCTTCAGCGCTGCATCTAATGCATTATTTGTGATACATACATTGCCTTTTTCTTGATGAAACATTCGACTTAACCTTGATTAAATGCTACTTTCTCCGCCCTTTCGGAGAATCCTTATCGTAATTCAAATATCTCTAGATCTGATCATATTTATTTACTTACGTGTTTTGCCTTCGCATTTTTCTTTCTCTTGCACAAAATTACTTTTATTGTTACTTCACGGTTTTCCTATTTTTAGAGAATTATTTATTTTCATTTGTTTGTTTCGTTTGAAATTTTAATCAATTTCTCTTTTTCTTTTCAATTCCACATAATTTAAACTTAATCATTTTGTCAGTTTCTTTGTCATTTCTTCATACTTTCTTTTCCTTTTACGTGTACATTGTTGCTTGCTTTATCATCAGTTTTCCTTGTCATTTCTTGTTCATTTTCTTCTCGTCTTTTTTTATTATTGACCTTTTCTCCAATTGATTCTTTCTTTTTTCGTCATCTTATCTTCTCATATTTTGTTATCTTTATTTTTAATTCTTTCTTTGTTCTCTCTTTTACCCATTCTTTCTATCTTTCTTTTAAAGTTTTCTCTTTCTTGTCTTTCGTATTTTTATTTTATTATTTTTTTGTCATTTCCTATTTTGTAACCATTTCTTTATTTCTTTACTTCTTACTTTCTTTTCTTTTTTTTTGTACATCCCTCGAGTATTTCGTTCTATATTAGACATTTTTTTATAGCTTTAATTTTTCCTGGCTTCTTCATAGATTTTTTATCGTTTGCTTTTTTGCGCAGTCATTTATCTTACATGCACATTTTAAGTTTCTTTAGACATTTTCTTTCTTTCAATGTCTTTTAAATAATCCTTCCTTCTCCCTTCCTTCTTTCCTTCCTTCCTTCCTTCCTTCCTTCACACTCTTTTTTTCCACCTATTCTCTCAAAGTTTAATAATCTTCATATTTGTTTTCTTAATTTTGAATATCGAGTTTCATTCTTTAATTTTTCTATTTCTTTCTTTTTCTTTAATTTATCCTGGATTTTTTTCTTTTTTCTCTCTTTCCTTTTTCTTTCTTTGTGTCTTATTAAAGCTTTTAATGTCTATTTCTACTTGAATCTAGTAAGTATAGAGCCGACAGGAAAGTAAATTAAAACTGAATAAAAGAATTTATATATATATATATATATATATATATATATATATATATATATATATATATTAAAACCTTAAATAATAAAAAAACGAAGAAATCGGTAAGAGGAAAGAGTGCGATAAGGGCGAAATAAATATCATGATTTCAAATGCGACGCATTTTGGCTGACTTCGGATCCAAAAATAGGTTCGTTAATTTGGATCTCCTGTGGAAAAGGGAGATAATTACGATTTGGTTAGAATTTTTTCGTTTATTTATTTTTATAATTGGAATCTAATATATTTTTTTTTGCAGATTGAATTCAAGATATATTTTTTCTTAATTTGCTTGTATTTATATTACGAGAAATGATGGTAATTACGTTACATTGATCTACGCAGAGAATGTAAACTGAAGTTTGGGTTAACTGAACACAAGGAAATAAAATAGAAAATTGCAAGATATAAGAAAACTTTGAAATTGAGATTGGTAATTATAAAATCTGATCTGGAATTAGTACGAAGAAATAGCTTATTGGCTTAGAGGATGGAATGAAAATCATTGATTTAATGTTCAATACCCTGTCAATTTAGAAAGACGTATATATTATTAAAAATTAGTTGATTCCATCTCCGTTACATACCTTTGTGTTAGACTTTGTACAAATATGCAGTGTCTATATCTATGTTGTATTTGAGTTGTTTGTGTAATTTAGCAATCATAAAAGCACACTCATATTCGAACATACACACACAATTGATTGTGTTTGAAATAAGATATTTGAATACATTTCGCTCTAATTCAGTCCGACAAACCTAACCGTGGGATGAACTAATAAAAGCCTTTAATTTTTAAAAACATAATCAGAAAAAATGAGCATTAATTAAGACCAAAGCTTTATATATATATATATATATATATATATATATATATATATATATATATATATATGTAAAAGTGAACATTGAAGTCAATACTAGAAGCGACAGTCTGTTTCATGCAAGATGCAAACTGCATATCTATCTGATCTATCTATCTATCTATCTATCTATCTATATATATATATGGAAAAAAAATACAAAAATCCTAATATGCAATTATGCTGTTTTAATGTTAATATAATGTCAACGTCGGACGTTTCGGTCTAATAGACCATCTTCAGGACATATTCATAAAACATAATTAATATTAGACTATATTCAATTCAATATGGAAAAGGTGATGGACACAAGAGCAAGACTAATCCAAACAGATAACTGAAATTTTTTATAAGATCAGCGTTCCGTTTTAATATGATCCCGTCGTCGTCACGTGGGTGATGTTGTGAAAATGTATTCAAAGAAGATTTCAAAATATTAGATAAGCTCGATTGAACGATTTTATTTTATATAAACAGTTCGTTAAGAAATTTTTCTATTCATACTGTCACTGGTAATATAAACCTGAAATTATTTATAACAATAAATAATAAGTGAAGGGCAGTGAGACGATGCAAATTATATTGAACAACTTTTCATTAGAGTATATTAAAATATGTGTTTTTTGGTATATATATTGATTTTTATTTTGTATTCGGAAGAAATAATATATATATATATATATATATATATATATATATATATATATATATATATATAAATGCCAGGAAAAAATTAACAAGAAGTCGAGTCGTCTGAGTTAAAAATTATTTTCAGCGTATTGAACTATCATTTATGTATTTTAGTTTTAAGAATTTTAACGTGAAAAATATATATATTTATATATATATATATATATATATATATATATATATATATATATATATATATTTTTGGTCCAGGATTTTCATCCAAGGAAGAACACGAACACAAGAGCAGAAATAACGAAGGTATATTATTAAAAATTATTTCAAGGTGTACAGGTGCAGAGTGGACTCGTAATTATTCTGGCTTTATAAGCTGATTATTTTCCAATGGGGAGAAACTATATATCTAATATTTTATATAAGGTCCATTTTATTTTTAAAAAGATTATTTTTTCAAAAGTCTTTTTAAGTTTAAGAAATTAAACAGTTGTTTATGTCACTCGAATTCTTTATTTGACATGATGATATTTTGATATCAATTTTTTGTGGTTCCAATTTATATTTTTCAACCGTCATCAAAGATATGAGAGTTTTGAGTTGGATTTTCAAAAAA